AATAATAAGGTATCCAAGCACAAATATGTACCTGTAAACCCATGAATAATAAGGTATCCAAGCACAAATATGTACCTGTAAACCCATGATTACATTGTTCAATTGTATTTTGAATTTACCTTACATATCGTGCTTTTTAAACCATCATATTTATTCCAAAGTTTTTATAAATGTAGGGATCCTTAATATACAAATAATACAGTTTAAGTCTAGGCATCATATTAAAAATCTAAATCTTTTAAACTCAGGCTTTGATACCAAACTTGTAACATCCCAAATTCACATTTTTTTATATAACCACATATTTCATATATCATGAAATACAAATTTACACATTTGGTCACGATACATACAAAAGGCTACATTACAAAAGTAGCTACCAAATTTTTCTATAAATACTCAGTACAAGACTTATATATATAACAAGTATTCAGGTACAAATAACATCACATCTTCTATAAATCCATGCAAGAAATCATGAATCCCTCTATAATTTTCCCTTCCTCTTTTCCTTCGGTTGAATCTGGCCTGTAATGCACATTTTAAAACAACAAAATAAGGGTTAGACCATGAGTTCTAGTGAGAAATCCCTTCAATTGCTATTATAGGGTGAAAATCACCAAAACATTTTTATAAAACCATATTTGTATAAAAAAAACAAACAAATAGTGTTTTATCAAAACAAACCTCTTTTGTTACATCAAGAAAATGAGACAATACCCATTTATCACGTCAAACAATCAAATACACCATTTATCGTATACACATAAACTTGTCACATCATATAGATAAAATCATAATTTTCTCGCATCACAAGGGCAAGACAACCCCATTTTCTCACATCACACAGATGCGATAAATACTCGTTGACGTGGTAACCCAACTTGTCGCATTTCAAGGACGTGACAAACACCCTTCTCGCATCACAAGGATGAAGTAACTTCCAATCCTCACATCACAAGGATGCGATAGAGTCCACTCATCACATCATGAAGATGCGATAAACCAAGGTCATCGCATCATGAAGATGCAATAACAGTTCTTCGCATGATAAAAAATCCCAGTTTTTACACACAGTTGATTATGTCACCCTTATCCCATAATACGTCTCTCCTGATTATGCCACCTTTATCCCAAAGTACACATCTCCTGATTATGTCACTCTTATTCCAACCATTTTGTTGATCCCCTCTCTCATTGATTTGATGATAATCTCTTTTACCTGTTACGAAGTATTATGTTTCTGTTCTTTCAGTTCCAACGATCATCACTGAATCTGTTCAGTGATCGCTGAAACATATATTGTAAATCCTACAGCGACAACGATACTTCAAGAAGACAAAACTTACACCAAAGAACCTTCAGCGAATCCCCAAGCCTCAGCGAATGCTGAAGAGACCTTCAGTGTTATTCCAACATTTAGTGATCAAATGAAGCTTGTAGTGCAAGATTTTTTTGTCTTGTCCTTCCACACACAGAGGACAAACCCATACCCTTTCTAGAGTGTAATATAGTACGGAACTGACTAGTTGACTCTATTACCTACCAACTCCATGAAAGAATGTCTGCTCATGAATGGACATATGTACTATTCACTGTAGCAAAGGACAAGCTTTCCTTTAAAAGATTGACATGTGTTCAAACCCTACTGAATTGCATTAAATGTGCATTTAATGCAATGGGTATAAATAGATGAGTGCTCTCTCCATGCAAAGACACGTGAACACACACACACACGCGCGTCTAAAAGAATACTTACACTTATCTTCAAGCAAGTTAGAATCTCTCTCAAGTATTCTAAAAGTTCTTACCCAGGAAGTACATCTTTCCTTCTTTATCTTTTAGCAAATCTTTTTTATTTTGCTAAGATTATCTGTGGAAACTTAGATTTTTTTAGATAGGTTATCTGCACCTTGTTTATTTTCGCGTACAATTTGTAAAAATATGTATTGCTATTTTCTTTATCAATATATATTTTTTTTAAATTTGAAAGTCATATGTGTTTGTATTCATCCCCCCTTCTACAAACTGTTTCTTTAAAACTCTTATAGACCTTACCGGGACCAACAAGTGGTATCAGAGCAGTGTTTTCTTCTCTTTTTGTTTAGTTGTTTTTCTGCATTTTATTATCTCTCTTTCTAGATAATGTTACTGCTTTCAAATGACTTTGCAGAACACGAGCACAAACTTTCACGACAATGGCTCCCTTGCCAAACCTCCCCGATTTATCAGAGACAACTTCAGTCTCTAGAAGAATCGGATGTCTCTTTTCTTGGAGGGTGTGGATCCTGAAATTCCACACTATATAGAAAATGGACCTTATGTTTCATATGCTATATCTCCGGCTATTCCTGAAACAACTACGACTACCGCGATTCCTGAACGGCATATTCCTAAGCTCCCTCATCAGTGGAGTGAAGAAGATAAGAAGAAGATAGCTATAGATACTCGTGCGAAATCTATTACCGCTATGTCTCTTCCTGACGAGGTCTATCACTTGGTGATGAAACTTAGAACCTCGAAAATCATGTGGGACACTCTATGTGTTCAATATGAAGGTACCTCTCAAGTACAAGAATCGAGGAAGATAAACTTAGTAAGACAATATAAAAGCTTTCTCTATGGAAAGA